ATAAATAAGGGACTTAAATATCAGGATGGAGACGTGTGCAATTACAATGTAATACTTTTGTAGCAGTTCTTGCTGCAGTTTCACCATTCAGCCCTTCCCTCATTTATAAGCCTTCCTACTTTAAGTTTCCTTGCAGCTTCTTTTTCTTTTTTGACAAAGTCCAGACTGTTACAATGTAAGGTATCTCCAGAGTAATATTGCAAACCATGGGTCTAGCCGGGGTTTTCAAACTAATCGTTTTCCTGGCAAAATTATAGAGAATAGATATCTTTACAATCTGATTTAAAAGAACCTTTAGCAGGCCCAAGTCGAGTCGAGCTGTGGCATTCTGACTCATTTAGGTCAAAAAAAGACTAAATTATAAAAAAAAATATCGAAAGGTGCTTAAACAAAACAATAGGTGATGGATTTATGTTACAATTTTTTTTAGCTGCCTGTTTATATTTTACATTTATTTGACCAAGGGCCGTTTTGAAGTAGTAATAGTCAGAACGATCACATTAATGGCTGGAAAATGTTTCCAATTATTCAATATTACACTGCATTTAAAGATACGGGTTTTATTTTCAAGGAAAATACATCGTTGGGTACTTTATGGTCTGTAGTAGATTTGTGCAAAAAATATAGAGAACCCCAGTGCAATTGAGCTGATAAGGGTTATATTTTTGTCAAGAAGGCAAACATACGTACAATAAAACATTGAAAAAATATTTAATGAAATGCAATGCTTTTTAAAACCAAACCTTAAAATCTACTTGTGGTATAATGCTTATTTGTCTTTATCTGATCTTATTTTAATAGACATGTGTTAGAAAAAAGAGGAAACCTATATTGCTAGAAGTATTTAAGGAAGTTACAAACACAAGCTGGTTAATTAACATTAAAAGTATTAGACGCTAATATTAGTATTATTATAATACTGACTGATATTTGCAGAATTTTAAGAAAAATCTTACCTGCCCTCATTTTGTTATCAATCTTTTGTTCTTGTGTTCAAAAAAGAGAGAAAACTAACCATCATTAAATCAAATGATTACCATCTTTCATAAATTGACTTTTTCAGCATTTACTCCATATGCAGATGATTCCATACTTAGAATGAAATATCCTGTACATTTCTCACCTTGGGATTTGGTTTTGTAAAGAAGTTCTAACATCCTTGCTTCTCACCATATAAAGCCTACGAATAGAGAGGCCTCAGTATTAGCAAGAGTGAGAGCACAAGCTGCATAAGGATAAGATGCTCGGCTCAACTCCCATCTGGTCATCGTCCAGAGGTCTCATTCTCACAGATTCTCACAGGCTCACAGAATTTAGCTCTTCCAAAGAGCCTCAGATCTGACAGCGGGCTTTGACCCTGCGACCAGGCAACGGGCCAGAGATGAGCTGAGCATGGAGAGAGAGAGGACTGCGCTCAAGAGCAAAATCTGTAGATACCAAAGGACATTGTGACAGAGATTACATATTCAGCTGCCACATAATGGCAAGATTTTCCTATGATCTTAGATTTTTTTTTCCTTTTAATGCTGATTGTAGTCGCTGAAATCCTGTTCTTTAAAGTAAAAAAAAGTTCTGTGTCTGTGTTATACCCTATTTTAAATTCACACCCTCAGATATTTTCCCTCTCTACCAAAGCCACAGCAATGCTTCTGCTGGATATCCCACTGAAAGGAATGAGCCAGGGATGATGTCATTCTTCATAGTGTCAATTTGAATTTGGGAAGCCTCTGTTTTCGCTGTCCAGCAGAGTTGTTGAAAAAAAAAACTTAGTGGAGTGGAGTAAAAGGGGGCCCACCTCTGTCACCAGTGGCCATCTTCATTCTAGACATCCTTTGAGGCCTGCTGCTTGTGGCTGACGTCATGGTAGCAAAACCATTATGAGGAGATTAGTTGGAGTTGAGCACAAATCCTCAGGACTGAAGCTCCTCTTATTTTGCCTCTTGTTCCATTGGTTTCAACATCCTCACTGTAATGATTTTTCATTGATCCTTTCTGTGCCTGTTCATCTGTTATTTGACTCTCCTTGCGTCTGATTTATGCATCTTTGTTTTCCAAACTTTGCTTTTCCTCTTTGGCCTGCAGAGACTCATTTCCAGGGCTCATATGCATTTCAAAGGGTGGAGGGGGCTCCTTGTGCTAACATGAAGAATTAAGCCAGGCGGTTGGGGGAATTTTAAAATGCTCCTCTCTAGTGAGTAAAGACAGTTCTCAGCTAGACTATCAAAGCCGTCTGTGTAAACCTGATTGTTCTGGGTCAATTCAAGCTTTTGCCAGTTTTGCAATTCTAAATGGCACACGCATGTATGAGCACATCTCCCCCATTTAAGCCTCACTCCACTGGCTTCCTATGTATTTTAGAATCCATTTTATTTGCTTTTAAATCCCTGATCTTGCCCCACCGTACCTCTCTGAGCTTCTACATCCTCCTTCACCTACTCAGTCACCTGCTCCTAAGGGCCTTAAGGCCTGGTTCTACTCCTGCAGCAGTGTGTCGCAGTGAGCTTGACACAGACATTTTTGATTTATGCTCAATATTGAAGCTTGGTCTCCACATACGCTGTGCGTCTAGATGCAGCCGAGGCGATGAGGAAGTGGGGGCGAGTTTGTCCAGCAAAGCATGGAAATGATGACGAAACAGGGCGGGGATCCAGGTGGAAAAGGGTCCCAGCGTTCCCGCGCACCTCGCTCTTCTAGCTGGTCCAACTTCACGAGTTTTTTTCCGCAATTTCCGTCATAAAAACAAAACAGGCCGGCCTCTTGTCTGCGGCACTGTCTGCGCTCACCTACAATTTGGGAGAGGTGCAGCAGAGTGTCTACGGAGGGGGCGGGGACGTCTTTTTATTTACTGCGACACCTACGCAGACGACCTAGTTTCGAAGTATAAATCAGCCTTAAAACTACGCGGAAGCACAGAGGGGACCGAGCTTCCACCGTTGCAGCCCCAAATGCTCTGGAATGACCTGCACTTTGCATTGTCTTTGTACTGAATTGTGCTATACAAATAAATTTGCCTTGCCTTGCCTTACCTGCCTCAGCACATCAGACAGGCCTTTTCTCTGGCTGTTTTTAAATTTCTTGTCAAATCCCATCTTTTCGCTTTTTTGGTTTGTTTTGATTACGTAGATGTTTATGAATGGTGAACCCCAGTCGGCCTCGGCAGATGGCCGCTCACACTGAGCCTGGTTCTGCTGGAGGTTTCTTCCTGTTAAAAGGGAGTTTTTCCTCTCCACTGTCGCTACAAGCATACTCGGTGAGGGATTGCTGTCGAGTCAATGAGTCGATGCAATCAACTGGTTTTCCATAGACTGAAAACTTTGACTTAATTTGCCTGTATGATCTGTTTGCATTTGTCATGACATGTGTTGTGAATTGCCGCTATATAAATAAACCAAATTGAATTGAAAAATGTGTGATTGATTTTTAGATCTGACTTTTAAGTGAATTGTTCTCTACATTCAACCTAAATTGAAAAGGACCTATGCTCTATAAACTGCTGTTGTCCAACCACTCCATGTAAAATTTCATGTCTTTTTTTTAGCACATCACTGCTGAGGATGAATCAAAATGTTCATCCTCAGCAGTGATCAAGTGCTGCAGATGTCTGTTAACCACACATTATTTTTGGTCATGTGTATAAGGTGAAACAGAAGGCAGGAAATGGGTTCCTGAGGTCTTCACCAGTGTTTCCCAACCCTGTTCGCAGGGTTGGGAAACACTGGTGAAGACCAGATTCTGACCCTAAGATCTGAATGTAGCAGTTAAATAAAGAGGATAAGGGAAAAGTTCCTATCAGCAGTTCTTAAATTTTGATAACCGCTGTGAAAGAGAGCTACAGCTTCTTTGAGCTGAAAGGCGTGACCATTGGTAAAGTCACTGCTGCTTCAACAACATGTGCATTCAAAGATAACATTCAGCTATTCTATGAATGGCCATTGAGCTACTGTTGACTTTCTGTCATCTTGAACTAGTTTGCCTATTTTCTTCTAACATTCACAAGAAATCTTTGTGTGCTAAGCCTTTACGGCACAAGGATTTGTTTAGTTTTTCTGAGCATTCTGTATAAGAAAAATATATTGTCCATTTGAAAATCCCAGAAAATAGATACTGCCATGCCTTGTTTGGTCTCTCACATCCCTTTCTTCACATATCTAGATTTCTAAATGCAGTGAGTTGCATCTATGCGACTGACTGACTGGCCATTTTCTACAAACAACTTAACACTTTTATTTGATCATGTGAATTTGTAAAAGTAACTTGAAATTGTCAGCTGACAAATTGGTAAAATGCACCCTTCTGGCAGGTACTAATAGAGTAGTGAGTACTACAGGGGAAAAGGGAATTAAAATAAAAATTAGATAAAACTTTATTGATCTCACAATGGAAAAATTAACTCTCTGTATTTAATCAATCCCATTTGGGGTGCAGTGGACTGCCACTGTGCAGCACCAGGGGGTTAAGAGTCTTGCTCAAAGACCCAGAGTAGCAGTCTGTGGGAGTGGATTTCGAACTCACAACCTCAGGAATCCAAGACCCTGACCACTAGGCTACCACTCCCCTAAATAACAACAGCACTCAGATGCAAGAAAACCCACCTACGGGTAGTGGAAACTTTTAAAGTCTTGTGCAAGCTACCCCCTACGTTGGTGGATTGGGCAAAGAGACGCTCGCCAAACGTGGGGCTCAAACCTATGACCCTGAGATTAAGAGTCTCATGCTCTGCTGACTGAACCAACCGGGCTACTTTTTAACCATTTCTTACCAGAAAAAGCAGCTTATAAAACAAACAAAAAAACCTACAAAAGTACAAAATGGCAATAGAGCAAAATGACAAGAACCCTTTTGACCAACTTCACTGATCTGTGACTACTAAGATATTTTCTGTTGTCATTTGAATGACTAAATGAAGAAAAAATAATGAATGACAGTGCCTTGATTTTGTGTCATTGTGACTAACAGAAATAAAAGCTGTGTAGCCTAAGCTTCTCTTATTATTGTTGCAGGATGAACTGGACTTGACTGACAAGAACAGAGAGGCCATGTTTGCTCTGCCTGACGAGAAGAAATGGCAGATCTACTGTAGCAAGAAGAAGGTGAGTTGGCCACTCTTTTACTTTATCATACATCAGCTCTGATCCTCTGGCTGCCCTCCTTTTGACTGCCTGCCTGAAGCCACAGTTTAGAACTAAATGTCAACCTTCAGCAAAAGGAGGGGGAAAAAAGCATCCCCTTATGGTTTTGGATTAGTTCAACCACACAGCCGGCCTACTTATCTGCTTTTAATTTCTCCTTTGACGTAAACATGTGACCGTATTATTATCATTGTTATAGGGCTTGATTGTTTTTGCAAGCTGCAGTGGAATAGTGGCAGAACTTAAGAGTCCATCTGTTCTGCAAACTTCCAGCAAGGATTTACCACAGACTCCAAAGAAACTGATCATTCAGTAACTAAAGAATGTGATTCTTCAAAACCCGTAACTTGCAGAAAACATGCTAATATACTTCCGTCTATCTTTCCACAAGAGTTCTGTTCCCACTTAGACACCTGAAACTACAGAACTGTGTTTGAAGCTGGATGACAATTATTTGTCCGGCCTTTTGCTCATTATTAAAAGTGAAGACGTGTATCCCTGCTTATTTGCTTTTGAGGTTAGATGCTGTATAATGTTCTAGTTTCCAGCTCTCATATAATTATGGCGTGATCTGCTCCTACTACCTTTTGGTAAACGAGCAAAAGTTATGCTCCATTACCAAAGGTAGTAACTGCAGTGGCGGATCTAGACAAAGCTTTCCGGAGAGGCAGGGTAGTGCCGTTATGATGATGAAAACCTGGTTGTATCTTAATATGGCTGAAGTTTTACGGTGACTTCATTGTTTAAAAGTAAATTGTAAAGGTTATTGATAAAATTGGTCCAAGTCATTTATCATTAGTTACATGCTGCAAAAACCGTCCATCTACTCAGGGTCTCGTTTGGAGATTGATACAATAAGCAAGACAAGATTGCTTTTGAGAGGATTCAGATTAAAGTAAGTGCAATACTCTGCTAAGCAGTTAGGCGATTGCACTTTACAAGACTTCATGAAATCATGAAAATAGTAAATCTCAAAACAAGATCTAAGATTTGAGTGCAGTCCATTCTGTCAGTGGATATAATCATAGGACTTATATTTTATGACACAGCAAAAATGTATCTAAAAATAAAATGCGGAGGTAAATAAGATGATTGCCAAAAAAAATGTATTTCCCCCTCAAAATAAGATAATTACATACAAACTACTTGAAATAAGAAGATCATTTTTTTATTATTATTATTGAAATCATCTTATTACATTTGTAAATTCTCCTTCCTACTGCTCAAATTGAGGCAAAATACACCCCTTTTCAAGAAAATTGACTTATATGTCAATTTTTTGTAATGTATGTTTTAAGTACAGGGGCCATTACAGGGGCCAGGATTAGTTCTCCAGGGGCGCTGGCCCCCGTTGGCCCCTGCCTAGAACCACCTATGAGCAAAACACTTACATTGCTCTCAACTGCATGTGGCCTGGGTTGGGTTACAAGTTTATAAAACGAAAAGCAGCAGATATTTTTTGGTTGATTAGAGACATCGGTGCAAGAATAGAAGCTGCAATATGAGCATGAGGAATACATACAGATTTGAACCTTTATTGCTGTATGATGAGCTGCTGTGCCTGTGGATGCTCTGCGCTGCATCAAAGGGGATTGGACTCTTAGCCAGATTCCCATTTGCACACACGAACCTGCAGTACAGTTCAATAAAACTCTTCTGTCCGTTATTGAATAACTCACTTAGGCAACTAGAGACTTTTATGAGGACTGTCTGTGCTGTAGCAAAAGGTAGTGGAAACAAAGTTTTGGCTGCAGGCTGGGCACTTTGGAGTTATTTGAGTCTAAGTCAGGTTCAAAGCTAGGATATATTAGTTTGTCATTCCACCTCCATCTCTCCCAGTCAGAAATCATTTCCTTTGCAGAGTTTTGTGTCCAGGCCAGAAAATGAAGAGCAAAACCAGGGTGATGGTGAACAGCGGAAAGCCAGAGGAAAATCCAAACAAACCCCTCATTCATGGAGAGAGAGCCGTTGTAATGGAGAATGAGTGAGAGAGAGGGAGAGAGTAAGAGAAAACAACTGGGGTGCAATATTAGATAAAAATCTGCCTGTGTGTCTGTGCTTGCAACCAGAAAGAAATGAATACTGCCCTCACATGTACAGCCCCAGACAAACATAAGAAAATCAAAACACACGTACAGTTGGAAGGAAAATGAAGCAATGCAGATTATGCAGAAACAGAAAATAAGGGCAACACACAGTAGTGCCCTCTGTTGCACAGAATGAGCACATGACAGAAATTTGAATCCTTTTAGGGATGGACACTCGTTGTCTTGTTTGCTCCAGTGAAGGGATGGCTCCAGTTGTTGTGGTAAGACAATTCTTCTTTGAGGAAGGAACAAAGAAATCTATCATTATCCCGATGCAAAACAAACTGTGCAACACAACCTTTCTAAAACTATTGACATTTTTTAAGTTCCATATTGGTACAGTGTGGTGACATCCATGAATATTTTTTATTGGAAAACAAAACTTCTATTTAAAAAAATGAACTAAACCCTTTGATATATTGAACTAAAGAAATAGTCTCAGACGACTTCATTAGAGATGTTTGTACACTTGCTTATTGTGGTAATTATCCAATAAGGTGGTTCTAATGCACAGTGCTGGATAAGCTGTTGCTTGATTCTAATCAAGTGGTTCAGTTTAACTTCACTACAAACAGACTGAGGAAAGTTATAAACAATCCCTGCTGTGCGAATGAACCACAGACTTGTTTCAACATATCATAGAAAATATTATTTCTCTTTTATATAGAATTTTATTGCATCTTCAATTTCTCTCGTACTTTACTGAAATTATCTGAGTTTCCTATAATTAGCAACCACTTCCAAGAAATGACGATCACCATGTCACCTATTTTTGCAACACTACTCCCTGTTTTCTTTCAAATATTAGACCATCATGGTGTCCAAGTTATCCACTGCTGTTTTTACCAGTGGCGACTGGCAAATAGGCGGTGCTGGAGCGCCGCCCCACCCACCCACTGACCTTATTTAAGACGTAAAAAAGAACAAATAAAAATTTTATTATAAAACAACATATTTCAAATAATATAATATATTTTTTTTTAGATGTGCAAGTTAAGTATTTAATCTTTAATGACGAGTAAAGAGGTTTAATTTGTGGTCGGATGGGTGACATATTTCCGCTCTGGGGCAGAAAAATCCTTGGCCATTCCAACAAAATTAAAAAAGTGAAAAAAGCAAATCCACTGGACTTTGTTTTCAAAGTTGGAAGATGTTATGCTTCCCATCCAGGAAGTTTTTTCTATTCAAAATGTCTAAAGTAGCGTTAAGTTCCAGGCTTATAGAGTTGCACAAACAAAAGCCTTGTTATGGCTTAGAAAACATGGAAATTAAACGGAATTTGGTGAAAGTTGTCTTCAAACTTGGAAACAAAGTCCAGTGGTTTGTTTTTTTACTTTGTTGGAATGACTATGACCTGGATGTCTAAGAATCTTCACCAGCATCTTTGGCCATACTCTAATTAAAAGTTGTCAAGGCGCAGAAGCTCCTCTCCGATGCAAAAGATCCTGAGGTGCAGCTCTCCTGCATCCAGAGCTTAAAGCTACTTTATTTGTGGCTTATTGACAGGTTTATATAATTATTTAGCAACAAGGCTTGGATAACTGCATGCAGCGAGGCTAATGCTTTATTCTGCTTTCCTTGCCTCCTTTTATTAAACTTCAGCATCTGACAAAGTAGGTATTAAGACAGGTATGAGTGATTTAAAGCACTTTTTAGGACATTTTACAATGCATTTAATTGGTTTTTGGTATATTTCTTTTTTGAAGTTATAGCACTTACAGCAGCTAAACATTATCATTGGGTGGAATAAAATGGTGGGTTTACCTGATGCACACAGAGAGATGTGACAATTTTTTAAATAACAGATATGAAAAAACTTTGTTTTACCAAATAAAGGCTGAATGCAGTATATACTTTACAATGGGTAATGGTTTCAGACTGTTTTTATGCTATATGTGATGAAAACAGAAACTAAAATCCTTGTTTTTACCACAAACTTTTGCTATAAACTCACCCATATGTTGTTTTTAGTCACTCATTAAACAGTGACAACATTGCATTTAGCCAAACTGTTCCACTTGAACCTTCTGCACCATTTGACGTCAGTACAGAAAAACTGCGCGCGGTCAGTGCCATATTCCAAAAATTTGGAGATCTGCGCCGTTTTTGGCCACAGCCTCGCGCCATGTTGAATGCAGTGAGTATAAAGCAAGCTTTAGAGATTTAAATCAAACAGTAATGCTGACACATGTGCTATCTGAGTGATACCAAAAAACTAAAACATGAAACCTTAAAAATCTAAATTATAATGATAATAGGCCTACAATTCAAAATTACACCATCAGATATTTGTCTAGCATAAGCCAATACACCATTTCCCAGAAGGGTTGGTTCTGTTAGTGAGTCAGCAAATGAAAATTAACGATTGACACCTGCCTCATGTTAATACAGAAATGGCATCAGTTCAGCCTTTATATAAAAGTATCACATTCCTGCCTGTGAGGCTAAGTGTACTTGTTTTTGCATGACTTGCAACGAGTCGCCCGCAGGTAGAGAACACGATGTAACATCTAATAGCACTTTATAATCTCCCAGCACTGGAAGCCAAACAGGGTCTCCTGATTCTCATTAGACGCGCTGCACTGACACACAAACACACTTGAGCTTCAACTAATGATTAGAGCATGTCCCTGACTAAACTAACCCATTTCTCAAGCTGTACCAGTGGTTTTAAACTTCAATATAAAAATAGGTCAAATGAAGAAAAAAAAAAAAATTTAAAAAAATTACTATCTCAGTTTGCTGCAAGAAACATCTGTCAAACATCATAAATTATAGGATATTGGCAAATTGCTGAGGAAACCGGATTATCTTGATATCTGAGTCTTTATAGTACCCCCATGTCATCCTGTTTTCTCAACATTTAGGTGTTTC